CCCCCCCCCGCTCCTCCCCGTTTTTTTCTCCTTACTCTCTCGCGCCGCCACGCGTGTCGTCGTCCTCAGGAGGTGGAGTCCTCGATGGCCCAGGCGTACGCGGACGAGATCGGTGCGATGTTCGTGGAGACGTCTGCGAAGGACGCCACTCACGTGCAGGACATGTTTGTCGAGCTCAGCAAACGCCTCCCGAAGCGGGAACCCTTGCCGCCGGCCTCGGGCGTGGATCTCAATCTCGACTCCTCTGGGGCGTCCTCCTCCTGCTGCTGATGCCATGAGGAATACCCCCCTTCCCCCCCCTCCCCTTGTGCTGTGCCCCTTTTCATCCGTACAACAGACGAAGCAGCAGGTCGCTTAGCTTTGTGGCGTAGGTTTTGGCTCCTCGAGCGGGAACACCTGACAGTCCCGAGGCTGCACGTCGTGCCGCTCTTCTCCGAGGGTGGTCTTCGGTGGCGGCAGCGCTCACGTCTGTCTTTTCTCCGTCCGTCTGTCCGTCCATCAGCTTATGTACATACGCTATCGAGTGTTGAGCTTGGTAGGCGCGGAGATGTACGGCCGCGAGCGGGGAAGCGAATGCGGTGGGGTTGGAATCGTCGTCTGTTTGGTCGAGAGTGTGCTTGGCATCCGCGACCAGCGTTTCTCCTCATCGTTTCTGGGTGCCATGTCCCAGGCGCCGAACAAGTAGTCCTGCTGGACTCCCTGCCCCCCATCTTGGCGACTGTCAAGTCTATTCCGTATCGTCATTATTTAGTGCGCCGTGCATTTTGCCCTTGCCTCCCGCCGATCCCTCCCCAACGCGTTAATCATGGCGTTAATCATGGCGCTTTTTGTATTTTGATGGGACGCGCCGGCCGCTGCTGAGCAAAGCATATGCTTTGACCACAAGATTTGTATAAAATTAAGTTGTTGCCCGGTTGTATTGGTCTCAGCGACGGGAGGAGTGTGAGACGCTGGCTGCGGGACTGGTAGATTTCTAGTTGGCGCCACCCGGGGCAGAAGGGTTCAGTATTGTTGTGTGGGGGCAGGGAGGGGGGGCGGCGCCATGTATGTGTTTTTTGTTTGGTCCGAAAAGGCTGGCATACGGATGTTCTGTCGAGAAAGGACCTTTGACTCGAGGGGGCTTGCGAACCCTGCTTGTGGCAAGCTGTTGACTAGCTTTTTTGTGTTGACGTGACCGCTTTGTGTCAGACGACAGTTTTTTTTCCTGTGCTCACTTGAACCTGTCACCTGGCGCCTGTTGTAAGGGTAACAGGGTCTGGGAGCTTGAGAGTGACTCGGGAACCACGCGCTGAGACGCGTACAAAATGTTGTGCTGTTTTGTTCGAAACCGCGAGCTTGTTTTGAGGTGATACCCCGCTGGCTCCAACAGAGCGCTCTAATAGTTTGATCTTATTTGGAGCGGTCTGTGTAGTGAACACGCCCTCTAACACGTGGTACGCATCGTGGCAGATCAAGTAACCGCTCCTCTCCCTCGCTGTCCACAGCCGGCTCACACTTGGCGGACAGTTGGACGCGGTTGAAAGACCTGACTCAAGCCAAGACACCCCGGCTTCAGGCTTCGGGTGCTACTGCTGCAGGTGCTCTGGCCTCGTTCTTTCGCGGGCTGGGAAGGAGCAGCAGTGTTTCGTGAGCACCCGAGCTAGATATCCAACCCAGCGCCCTACCAACCATTGACCGTCATCATTGTTTTGTTTTACTTCACATTCCCAACGGTCCCGGTCTTGGCGCAATGTGTTGCGTTCACACTGGTCCGTCTGACGCGGACGCCTTCCGTGGTCACAAGCCAACCGCCCGGGAGGGTGCGTGTCGAACAAACCCCAAGTGAGAGGAAGGTGCTATCGGACCAGGCAGCCGGCGCACACTGAGCACCTACCTGTTTTGGTAGGTTCGGTCGGCAATCCCCGGTGAAAATAAGTTCTGTCGAAGGCATAATTACTTGACACGGTTCGAAGAGGCGGTAAGTGTCGCGTTGACAGGAAAAACTCGGTGGGGTGGCCTACAACGGTATTAACACGAATCTGGTCCTTGGCTTGAAGCCCTACTGTTGTTGTTGGAGCAGCGCCGGCGTTGTGGTTGCTGTGCAAACGCCGCAAGTGGCGGCGACTTGAAACGCCCAAGGCAAGACAGCACTCAACGAGGTGAGTAGCTACAAGTCGAGAGACAGAGCCAAGTGACTGATCATTATTTGCGGGCCACCTTTCTCTCTCTCTGCTGCTGTAGAACCGCGCTGCCCGACAGCTCCGCCACCTTGCTCCATTCACGGACAGACAGACGGCCCGGAGTACGTACATGGAACGCCGCATGACGCAAAATTATGCTCTGTACACTGAACTAGCACTCCTGGCTGCACACCTACCTGTCGCCTCTATCCATGACCATCCGGAAGTTGTCCACGGCCGGTGTGAAAGAACCCTAACATAGCATGGCATGATTAGCATGCACCTCAACAAAGGAACACCATCGACGCGTTGCTACATGGTACAGAACATTCGTGTTTACAGGCGGAATCCCATCCCGGCGGCAGCTTTACCGTACAACGCGCACACCGATTAGACAGGCACTCGCGTGGCAGCTGGATACGACCAAAACCCCGCAACAGAGAACAGATAGCGCCCGCACTTAAGAACTTAGCAGTTAAGAAATTGAGACTCGCAAAAAATCAGAAGCTAAGAACTTGGGCACCATTTGTGAGCTCGGTTAAGAACCCCACACTAAAACCTATTTAGCGGCCATTTGTAATCCACTAGAGGATGATCAGCAAATAAGAACCCCAGCCTCGGCCGAAACTATAATAGAGGTTCTTAAGTGCGGGCGCCATCTGTAGTCGTTGGGATTCCCAAGAAACCCGTTATCTATCGCTTTACCCTCAAAAATGCGCTAGCTAGGAGTTGTGGGGGACAATCAGCCCGGCCGCTGGACACATCACACCCTACGTACCGCTGAATACCTACGGCTAAGTACCTGCCTCGAAGTACGTGCTGCAAAACCTGTTGATAGTCAGTCCGGAGTTAAATCGCACCCAACCCCCACCTCCGGGCGCTAAATACCCACCAGACCAAGGCAACCGGCCAAAATAGCAGTTTTGGTGTGGTCCTGTGGTCTCCTCTCCTCATTGGCTCGCAGCGCTGCCGGACATAAACGCGATCATCTGCCGCACCTCATCGAAACGTATGCGCGTGTTGACCCTCACGACGTCCTTGCCTTTCATCGGCCGCGCCACCAGCCCGCCATCTATCCCCCCGCCGCCGCCCGCCAAGGGCGCGGGCGGTGCAATAATCGTGCACCATTCTGGAACAATGCTCGCCAGCATCCTAACTCGATCCCTCGCCTCCTTACGGGACAGCGCATGCTTGCTGGAGCTAGAGAGGGCCTCCATCAGCACGTCGAGGGAGCAGGTTGTCCGGCCTGCGTGGGCGAAGTAGGACCTAGCGTGGACAAAATGGCACCGGGTGGGGGGCGGGGGGTTAGTCATGTAAACGCGTGCCATAGGGGTTAGAGTATTGACCTCGCATCCCTACAATACCGGGATGGAGCGAGTCGGCACCAGCCCGGGCTACATTTCACACGGATGAGCCAAACATCACCC